CTGCTGGCCAGGGTCAGGAACATATCTGGTTTGAATAGCACTTTATGTGAAGAGAGTTTGTGAAATTCTTTGTGCAAATTCAGGTTGGTTTTGTGGAGATTGTGTAGTTATCAAACAACAGAGACACCTGTAACTTCCCATGTCACTGTCATTTTTGAGCTGGTATTGAAATGCTATTCTGCCTTTCTCGAGTTGACCCTCTGAATTTATCAAACCTTCATGATTTCCACTGTAGGGCTGTATGTGAACTCAGGAGCTGTGCTCACGTTTACCTGTGAGGTATCAGGGCCTGTCCAGACAGTTTGCCCCGTGACTGATGGTTTAGCTTGTCTTTCACCTTTAAACACCTGGAGCTGATCCCCAGATTCAGGCTGGGACATTCTAACTTCTGCTCTAACAAGTGCAGAGACAGAAACGTTGCATATTCACAGAGCTTGGAATGTAAAGCAGGGAAACAAGTGCCATTAGTTTCCTGTCAGTATTGTCAGGGGAGAAAGGAGAACATCTTGCACAAATCAAACAACTTAATCTTCTCAATTTATGTTTTTGCTTTTTGGGTTCGTTTGAGTTAGAGATCAAAGGATCTCTCCCTGGCATTCTTTGGGAGTCAGGATTCTGCTGGCATATAGTACTAGCACACAAACTGTTGCCTTTAGGTGTTTCCATGAAGCTCAGGCAGCTGCCAGCCCTGCCTGGGTGCTGAGGAGCACTGGGGACACACTTGAAGTTTTTGCCTGTTGGACACACTGAAAGACTTTCCAAATATTCACTTTGATTTTCATTTGTTTGTGTGATCAGACAGTTGTGGTTTGTGAGTACAGCTCCTCAGAAAGGAGAGATTTTATTCAGTTGCTAATTACTATGGAGACTGTTCAGAAATAATTAGACAAAAAATCAAGATTTTTTTTCTTTGTGTGTTCTAGTTTTTGTTGCCGAGTTGGGGTCAAGTCAGGCACTTGATCTTGCTTTAGTGGTGTCCTGCAGATCGTGGGGTGTTGGCAGAGACAGGGGGTTCTCTGCTTCCTCACGTGGCAGCTCCACGGAGCGTGGAGTGAGGTGCTGGCCCAAAGAGCCTCACAGGCCTCCCTAAACAGACTTTCAGAGCAACTAAGCCTTGAGAACGAGTGCTGAGATCCCATGCTGCTGGAGCTCTTGTTAAATTAGGTTCTAGGTCTGTCCTTTCCCCTCTTGGCCAGAGCTGGGGCCTTGTTGAGCAAAGCCCTTGGGTAATGGTACAAATATCACAGTGACAATCCCAGGAGCATCACCCCGAGCAGCTAAATGTGGACTCAGACTTGCCATGGGCTGTGTTGGTAAGCTGAGCCATGAGTTACTGTGGGACTGAAACTGCTTTTGTGTTTTGAATGTTTACATGTGGACGCCAAGCGCAGGGAGATTTTTGTCATTGCTGAACCTGCTGAGCACTCACTCTGTGCATGTACTTGAGCAGTCATTTTGTGTGCTCTGCAGACTCTTCTCCTCCTTTGTCTGCCTTTCCCCTTCAAAACTTTAATCTTTCTCTAGCAAGATAACTGAGGCTGAAATTAAATAGTTCATCTTTATATAAATGCAAAATAACATTCTTGTCTGATAAGAATCCTTTCGAAATTAATTCATTTAGATTTATCAGTCCTGGCCTTCAGTCAGGTTGTGAGGGAAGAGAATGATTTCTGCCTAACTTTACGTTGGGTATTAAATCTGGTGCTAATAGCTGCCGCGTGGGTTTGTGAGGGCAAGGCATGGGCAGGCTGAGAGGCTGCTGAGGTGCTGTTCTGTGTGCTGCTCCCCCTGAAGCGACACTGTCTACAACTCCATACCCTGGAGCCCACGGAACGGAAGTCTAACGTTGTTTGTTTGTTTGTCTCTTGCAGAAGCTCCCCCAAAACCTGAGGAGAGCCCCGCGGAGGCGTTCGGAGACTCGTCGCTCTTCGCTCGCTGGGGACAGGAGCTGAGCCCCGAGGAGAGACGTGTGGCATTCAAACAGTTCCAGTACTATGGCTACAACGCCTACCTGAGCGACAGGCTGCCCCTGGCCAGGGCCCTGCCCGACCTGCGGCCCAGCGGGTGAGTGTGCCACCCCAGGCCTCACACACTGCGCGTTAGTCCAGGATGAGTAGTGTCTGTCAAATGTCTGACAGCTGCGGGTTTCAAATGTCTCCCGAGGCTCTGCAGTGCCCAAAGTAAGTCCTGCTCAAGCCCCAGGAATGACTCATGTCATGGTTTAACCCCAGCAGCAGAACCACACAGCACTCACACACTGCCCCAGCAACGGGAGGGGCAGAGAATGGGGAGGGTGAAAGCTAGGAAAGCTCATGGGTGGAGATACAGACAGTTTAATAGGGAAAGCAACAGCTGCACACACAAGTAAAGCAAAGCAAGGAATTCATTCACTGCTTCCCTTGGGGTTCAGCCATCTCCAGGAGAGCAGGGCCCTATCATGCATAATGGGTACTTGGACGACAAGTGCTATCACTCCAACCG